TCGTGAATACCTGGAATGAATGTCGATGGGTGCTTCGCGTACAATAAACACACTGATAAACCCATTTCTCATATACAACGAACTTTGGGGTGATAGACAACCCCGACGCTTCTGATACTGGTACTATTTTCGTACTTCATCCAATATTCCGAAAGAAACCTTCCCGCCGTTGAGATCTTGTGCATTCTACTCCCGTCAGTAGAGGACACCATGAAGAGCTCGGATAGGACGTACGCAGCAACGAATTTGACTGCTCCGCGGCGACCTGTCATCTCAGACCTCATGGCCATAAGGATTTAATCGAAACACTCCCCAGTGCTGCGCGTAGCAAAAACAATATATCATGTGATCTATAGGCGCCATCCGCAGTTGATCGTCATGAAACTTCGCCAAGCACTAACCAATTGTCGTCGTTTCTTTGTGTGTCGATGCCCACCCTCACTTTCAGGGGTGGTGTCATGATCCTGTGCAATAACGCATCTGCATGGCTAACTGGGACAGAAGAGATAGTATGCTGGCCCCCCTGGCAGTGGGGAGGTATACACCTCCCGTGTCCCCGCAAAATCCGGACGCTGACAAGCGGACGGAGAACTATCCTCTCCAGCTGCTGCGAGAGGCAACGAAGAAGGAGCTCGACGTCGCGAGAACGCTGGGGGCCCAATACAGATATCCAGGGCAAGTAGATCGCAGCGCCGGGCGCAAGATTCAGGCGACCTGTTGAAAGGTTCGGGGCACGGATCAGGGAAGCAGCGCCTGGCGAGGGTTTAGGCCAGACGTTCTTCGTAATACTACAACCGCAGCGGGAGCACAAAATTGCAGAGGTGGACTACGAGGAGCAGCAGTCGCTGGCGAGGGAGCAAGCACGGGCCCGCAAGGAACGTGGGATCGCCGAGGCTGAGCGTCATAAAACGGCGAGCACTTCCCCGGGAGTTCGCTCTCGGCGGCGAGTTCAAGATTGGAAGAGACCACGAGAAGATGCCGATAGTATCCGAAGCGAGGGAGCGAGGAAGCTGCGCGCGAAGGCATGCGGGCGCCAGGAACGCGGTTGGGTCACCGCCACTCCTGGCATCATGTGTGCCCTCGAGGGGGGCATTTGGCAGGAGAGAAACTGTGTGCTGCATGGCACAGGTCGGCGGATGAGAAGGGCTGGTTACCCCGGTGGACACCGATAAATAGATGATCGTTTTGCGGGCGATGAGTACGGGGTTCCTCAAGGCCAGCGGAGAGGGGGCGCTTGAAGCGACCGTGCAGAAGGTTGTGGGGGGTGCCCCGAAGTACATTTGGGTAAACAGGGTATTCGCCGCCACCACCAACTCAAGGCAACGAATCCGCGTGGCCCACGATGGACTCCGATTTCCAGGGTTGGATTCCCGGCGACGACGAGAAAGTACGCCTTTTTTGGTCTTGTCTACATGTTTGCTGGTTGCAATTCCTGCCTGCCATATCAGGTCTGCCTTTCGCGACCATGTGGGCTCTGGCGCTGAAGAGTGTGCGGACGGATTGTGTGTTTCCCACGTCATTCTTTTCGTGTGAGGGTGGGGTATGGGGCGTCAAGATCGACGAGCGCATCAATCTGTTGGCGGCCATTTTCTTGAAGTATGAGGCTGCCTGTGCTCGTGGTGGCCATTTTCCGGGCGAGATTCTCCCCAGCGTCAACGGCGGTGTCGCACATTACGTCGACGTCATGCGGATGCTTATCCTCAAGCATGGTTCAAAGAGAGCCACATCAATGTTCCCTGCGTTCGAGTCCGTTCGCCAGCAGAGCGAGCGAGGCCATCAGGTGCTTGGATACTGGCAGGATGGCTGCTTAGAGGCGGTGCCAGCACGAGACTTCAACGGCAAGGGGTGGGGGATCGACCCGAAAAGGGGAGGGACCAACTCGGGGCACATGACAACGGAAAACTGCGTGCTATGGTTGTTTGACTATTGTTACGTTGGGACCGACAACAAGACGCAAACGGACAAGTGTGGTTGCAAACCGGACCCGGGCAAGAAGAGTCTCTGCGTGAGGTGCGGCTGTCGGAAAGCAGGAAGGAAACGTTCGCTGGCATGCGTGTGCAGGGCTCGGCTCGGCTCGGCTCCCTCCTACTACATGTAGCGTTCCTGCTTCGTCCACCGTTCCTGCCACGTCTGCCATCGTAGCCGGAGCCCTGTATTCTCTTTTGGCTGCAAGAGCCGCCAGTGAGCAGGCAGCTGATAGTGAGCCGGAAGCCGCGCCGGACGATTCGACAGGGACCGAGGCGAAGCAGGAGGGGGGGGGGGAGGGGAAAGAGGAGGAGGAGGAAAAGGAGGACGAAGCGCCCGATGGAACCCCCGAGTGGGAATCCGATACCTCCGACTACAGCGATGCCTTCTGCGACTGGGGATCAGACATGT